GGGTAGTGGAGTGTAGGATGTGCTTTGCAGTTCATTGTCATCACTGACCTATGGCTGCTTTGGTTTTATGCGTCAGGTGGAGCATTTGGGCAATCCCACGCATTGTGTTCCCTACTTTTGCAATGTGCACAGTATATTAATACAACCATCTCCTCAGCATCAATACACTGCAATTCTTCTGCTCTCCAGGCGATTCCTTCCTTACGCCTTTTTTCTCTCCACTCTTTCAAATAGGGCTGGAAGTGGGGGTGTCTGAGGACCTTGTCATAAAGTATTTTACTGAAGGATCCCTTTGTAGGGCAATTTGTGTGCATATGGCCTGTTTTGAAGCAGGCTGGGCAGATCCCTCTTCTGTGGATATACTGATTGACTTCTAGTGATGTAGGGGTCCATGCATCAGCTTCCTTTGCCATGCGCTTTTTCCCTTTCTTTGGTGTTTCTGGGTCCTCTACATTGAAAGGGGGAGGGGTAGTATTTCCTCCTGTTGGCACACCCTGCTCCAGGTGGGTCCCTTGAAGCAGCTCTGGATTGAAAGGATATACTCCTTCCATTGCTGATGTTGTTGCTGCAGCTGGACGGGGCTTAGGGGCCAATAACATGGCTTGGAAAGTGGCTCCATCAGGGTCAGGAATTAGCATGGCTGGTGCAATTGAAGGGGGGGCCTTCTGTTTCTCTGAGGGACCCATGGAAACTTTTGGTCCCTTTTCTTCCTTCTTTTGGCTTTGTCCTCCCTTGCTGATCAATTGTCGGGGGTTTGCCGATGCCCCAACTTTTTTTGATTTCAGATTTCTCTGAGGGCAGAGAGAGGTAGAGTGCCCTGCAAGTTTACAGACAAGGCAGGTTTTTGCTGCTCCGGGCCAGCTGGCGACGATGCTCTGCTTATTTTCCCCTATAGTGAACACCGTTTGGGCTGCCAGTTTCTTCTCTCCGGCTTTGAGTTGGATTACAAGATCCCAGCGCTTTGTCAGCCACTCTTTTCCAGGGAACTTGTATGGAGCAATGCCGATAATTCTGCCATATTGGCTCCAGTGCTCTTCAAGTTTGGTCTTCAGCCACTCTTCCTTGGCAATGGGGACATTTGATAGCTTG